AGGAGGGTGGGGGAAAGGAGACATATGTACTACTATTTGTAATACTTTAAACACTAAAAAAATAAAATAAAATAAAATTTTCAGTGCCTTGCTGTTGCCTTTAAAATTAAGTCCAAACTCTTGAGTAGCAGAATACAATAACAGTTTGCTGAGTGTACTATGCTCTCAAATCTCCAGGCCTTTGCATAGACTGCTCTCTCTACCTAGAATGCTGTTCCTCCTCCTTCACCTGGGGCACTCCTACTGACACTTCAAAACTTATTTGAGATGTCACCATTTCTAGGAAACGCTCCCTGACTACCAGCCCTGCCCATTCTGAGTTTGATGCCCCCCCTTCTGGTTTCATTAGCACTTTGCTAATACCTCTGTCATAGCAAAGGTATATTGAAGAATAATAATAATAATCTTATTTACCCACTTTCTCTCCAACTACACTGGAACTTATTGTAGAGGGAAACTATACCATTTATCACTCTCTTTATTTTATCTCCCTAATAGACTGTGTAGCACATAACAGGTACTCAGAAATTGTTCGATGAGTGAAGAATCTCAAAGTGTAGAAGGGAAGACAGAGAATCGCAGCTCTGTGTGAGGTGTGAGAAACCACAGAGTGGGGTGTAGTGATGATGCCTGAGCACTTCTGCTTTAGAAGAAGACAGGGTCTAGGAAGGTGTCCCACAGAGAAGATGCTTAGAATGGCCTTGAGGGAGATTGGGAGATCACCAGGGAGATTGAGAGGCAAAGAGAGTGGTGGCACGTGGAAATGCCTAAATGCCTCAGTTTGCAAAATGCATTGGGGAAGATTTCCCTTAGAAGAATGGAGACAATGAGACAATATTCATAATAAGGTAATAGGAGATTAGTGGAATAATCCAGTTAAAGGCCTGAACTGAGCTAGTTAGCAATGTAATCTAATTTGAGAACAGAGACAGATGCAGAGAAGTTGAGGAAATAAGGAGCCCAGCATGACCCCCCGGTTTCTGGCTTGGGTGAACGGTGGTGGCATAACCAGCCTCAAGAATTAAGAGGAAACACTGCTTTGGTAGAAAAATGGTAAGCCCCGTGTGCTGGGGTTGAGTTGGAGTTGTCCGTCGGACATCTAGGTGAAGATATTAGTAATCAATTGGATATGTGAGTCAAGCTCAGAAGAGTCTGGCTAGGAATGAAGACTCACTGTTATAACTTCATTAGAACTTTTGTTTTACATCTGTAATTTAATTCCATGCCATGAGGTTTCAGTCATGAGTGGGGACTGTTAGGAGAGGCATAATTGGTCCCATGTGCCTCTGGCTTGGATTTGATGCCTCTAGCAAGCTACTGGACTTTAGGCTGTGCCTATTGCCTTATGGGAAAGAAGACAGTTAAGGAGACCTGAAAAAAATAATGTTGCAAACATTGGCCCTAAAAAAAAATGAATTTAGTCCTGTCTTTCATGATTCTTCTGTGGGATGTGAAAGTCATGCCAGTGAATTCAACCTCTTCTACCTCCCAAAATCATATACTTCTAAGGGCCACCAAGTATTACATAAAGAGAGAAGTCTTTCCCTTCGTTGCATTGGAATCCTTACCCCTGAAGAATTGTCTTTAGGTAAAGATGTTATTTCCTTGCTATAACAAACACGTGTTTGTTCTGTCCTCCACTTTTCAGGAGGTGGTCTTATTTTAGTGCCCCCTTGCCACTGGGATGGCCGTTGTGCCTGTTCAGCCCAGCCGGCAGCACCCACCTTGGTAGTGCTCTCCTATAGAGAGTTCATTTGCAATTCTGTCTGCACTGTGGAGTTTAGACTGAGATCTGCTTTGCTTAAGGGTCCCAACTGAAATAGCATTTTTACAAAGCAACTCATTGTGCTTTTCTGGCTAATTTGTCTTAAGTGATTCCCACTGAAATGAAACATATTTTAATTCAAAGTTTCCTGACAATGATGGCACTTGGGAGTTACATGATGAGCTCATGGTTGAACCTCTTTTATTCCAAATGTCTATTCACAAAGGCTAAATGGGAATTGCTTATGGAATGCAGGCATTTCTGACAAATCAGGAGGAATTGGTATTTAACCAAACAGCTCCGGCAACCAGGTGTGAACAGAGCAAAGATTTAGCAAGGGCACTAGTCATGTGTAGAGAATGGAGGATCCCATTTCTAATTCAAAGGACTGTGACAGAAAACTCATCATCGAACTTGAATATCAACCAACCAGTGTTTACAAAGAAGGCAATATCACAATAGCACCCAGGGAAATTTAAATGATGCATAATGAAAATTCGCAGAAAAGCCCAAAAACCATTCATTCCATCCAACACGCTGAATTAGATGCTGCACTAAGCCCAAAGCTGGCATTGTCCTCGATGAAAAGGCCTTAAAATATTTATTTCTTGTTTCAAAGCAAAGGTACTACGTTATTTGGAATAGTGGTATCAAATCTATTCCCTAATGTAAAAATTAAAAAAAAACAACACTAGCCCTAGCCAGTTTGGCTCGGTGGATAGAGCGTCAGCCTGTGGACTAAAGGGTCCCAGGTTCGATTCTGGTCAAGGGCATGTACCTTGGTTGCAGGCACATCCCCAGTAGTGGGTGTGCAGGAGGCAGCTGGTCGATGTTTCTCTCTCATTGATCTTTCTAACTATCTCTCTCCCTTCCTCCCTGTAAAAAATCAATAAAATATATTTTTTAAAAAAACACTAAATAGTTTATAGTCTCTGCCATACTGACTAAATATAAGTGACATATCACCACAACCTCCGTGGTCTGATATCTTAATTTCTATAAAAGTAAGTTAAGTTTGGTGGTCAGATTCAGGATGCAGCCAGGAACTAGCTCCTTCTAAGGGGCAGCAGGCTGTAACCAAATCGTTTGGCTGCTCCCCGGAAACTGGTAATCTACGATGCTTATCTAATCTGTTGGAAATGCAACTTGAGTAGAACCGTCTGTGGGTGACTTTATGTTTCTTTAATTACCAGGTAGGAGACCAAATCATTGAAATCAATGGGGAGAGCACCAGGGACATGACGCACGCCAGAGCAATAGAACTCATCAAATCTGGAGGAAGAAGAGTGAGGCTGCTGCTGAAGCGCGGGACGGGGCAGGTCCCGGAGTATGGTGCGTTTCACGTTTCGATTCACCTTTCCTCTGTTTCTTTCACGTACTGTAAGTGCCTATGCTTATTTATAAGACTGTGTCAGTTACTTAATTCTACCTAAATACATATTCAGCTACCCATAGATATCTATGCGCATGTGTACATTTAAGCACAAGATATATATGTGTGTGTTCTCTCTTTTGCTCCCATAGTTAAGTAATGTTTAAAATAGCAAATATAGAACCTTTCGGGGCATCTCTGAGTGTGCTGGGAGATCCAGCCAACATTATGATACTAGAACTTTCATAATTTGACTGATAGTCTTCTGTGCATTTGAGTCCACAGTAATGTATCAATTATTTCCTCAAATTGCTCGTGCATCACACGGTCCCATAGGATATGTAACTGGGGCCAGGAGAAAAGCAAGAACAAATCTTCAGGGTGTGAAAATGAAAATGTAAACTTCAGTTCATGCAGTGATCACATTTCCTTGGCATTTTAGGGATATTCAAAAAATTCACACTCATATTGTGTATCTACATGTTTTTGAGGAAGGCTTTAAAGTGCATTTTAATGCATAGATTTTCTACCAAAATCTTTAATGGTGTTATTTTCAAGGGGCCCACTTAAGGCACCATTGACAGCATTATGAAGGAACTTCTGGGGGGTCATTACATAACCTGAGCTGTTCTTTAATTAATGTCAAGAATAACAGACAGACAGAGAGACAGACAGGTTTCAGTGAAGAGCAGTGTAGATAATGCCCTTCCAGATTAGGGAAAAGGGATCTAACTGCTCACCTGAACAAGTGGTTCAAACTGATGATCTAGATCAGTGGTTCTCAACCTTCCTAATGCCGCGACCCTTTAATACAGTTCCTCATGTTGTGTTGACCCCCAATTTCATTGTTACAAATTGAACATAATTAAAGCCTCTTGATTAATCACAAAAACAATATGTAATTATATATGTGTTTTTCGATGGTCTTAGGCGACCCCTGTGAAAGGGTCGTTCGACCCCCAAAGGGGTCACAACCCACAGGTTGAGAACCGCTGATCTATTTAAACTGACTCTCATTTTCACTCCTCCATTCCCTACCTTCCTCCATTCCAAAAATTCTAAATAGTACTTTTCCCTCTCAATTTTTTTTTTGCCTAAGTTACCTTATTTATTGTTTAGCGGGTCAGTAAAGTCCTGAGTTCAGTTGAAATATCTGAATTCAGAAGCCCTTAAATACTTTGTTTCCAGGTTCTTGATACTCCTACAAAGCCTACAAAGAGGGGCAGCAAGCCCTCACATCAAGAGTGGGAACGGATTCAGAACTTTCTGGAGGGCTGGCTCCGTGCCCAAGGATATATTTCATCCCAAGTTGCAACTCTTAATATTTGGTTGTAATAAAATATTTTTAAATATTAATATTAGCAATAAGCACAGGCCTGATCCTGTTAAATGAATCTGGCATTAATCCCTTCATAGAAAGAATCTGAACACTTGGAATACAATAACTTTTGGCACCCTGGAGCATTACGTGATTCAGTAATATCAAACTGGCCTGTGAGATTCTATCACTTCTAAAAATACCTCATTTTAAAGGTGTGTTTCACTCCATGGCAAGACCTGACTATTACCTACCAGTGGTCGGCAAACTCATTAGTCAACAGAGCCAAATATCACCAGTACAACGATTGAAATTTCTTTTGAGAGCCAAATTTTTTAAACTTAAACTATATAGGTAGGTACATTGTTATTAACTTAATTAGGGTACTCCTAAGGCTTAGAAAGAGCCACACTCAAGGAGCCAAAGAGCCGCGTGTGGCTCGCGAGCCGCAGTTTGCCAACCACTGACTATGCCAAGGAATTTGCATAGAGCTAATATTGTTCTTGTTGTTCTAACAGGTTAGTCTTTAAAATGTTAATCTGAGCAACATGGCTCTCCTGGGCTTTCTTTTCTCTTGTACAATCACTGTTGGGTCCACACTTGCGGGGTCTGCCACGCCAGCTGCTTGTCTGTAGTGGTCAGTTAGGACAGTACTACTGAGCCGCCTGTGGCATAACCTGTAATGCATAAGCATGAAGCTGCCTCAAAGCATCTTTAAGGAAAAATAAAAGCATGTTTTTGAACAAGATAAAAATTCAAGATCATGTCAACATTATCCCATTAATTCTTAAATATTACCCAAAAATATCTAATTAAGGTTAAAATCTAAAATTAACCAACACAGAGAGTTTGCTAAATATCTGAGCACACTTTTGAAGGATGAAAACTTTCGCAATATTGCAGAATTGTGTCTGAATATGTTTGAAAATATAACATTAAATTGTACTTGCTGGTAATGAGAGCTCATCAGCTACTTTTGATGATAGAGTGACATGGATTTTGACTGAAAAATAACTTAGCAATTATGCCACAAAAGACGAAATTTAATAGAGTAGAGCAATTTCCTTTAGGGAAGTAAAAGAATAATCAGAAACCAAGTAAACATTCGTTCTTCAGGAAACTCTAAGCTAAAAGGTGCATGGTTATGTATGAGAAATCAAGAGGGTTAAGGATCCGATGAGCATCTTTGAGGATAATGTCATCAAATGGTATCTCTGGAAGGTCATAGTGACAGTGTGGGGCGGAGGGGGGGGGGGGCTCAGAGGTCCCCAAGACCACTCCACATTCAGAGATTTGCTAAAAGGATTACTGGGCTCCTGGGGCACAGAATATAGTTATCCTCATAACAAGATTTATTACAGTGCTTTAGTAAGGATACACAGTAGGATCAGAAGGGGAGGAAATACAGGCAGACACTGCAAGAATCCATGTGCAGGCTTCCTTATTCTCTATCTATCTATCTATCTATCTATCATTTCCTCTTCTTCCCCTCCCCCCTTCCACCCCATGAGGGATCACCAGAGAGCACTCTTCTCCCAGCAACAAAAATGCAGCAACATATGTGTGATGTTGCTACCTAGGGAAGCTCATTTGAGACTTGGCACCCAAGGTTTGTAGTGGGGGCTGATCATACAGACACTCTGCCTATCACATACCAAAATTCCAGTATCAGCCCTGCCCAGGTAGCTCAGTTGGTTAGCATGTGAGTTCAATCCCTGGTCAGGGCACATACAAGAATCAACCAATAAATGCATAAATAAGTGGAACAACAAATCTTTCTCTCTCTCTCTCTCTCTCTCTCTCTCTCTCTCTC